CAAAAAAGACCTGAGGATCATGGAATACTTTAGAAGACGCTGGAGCCCCTACAAACACACTCAGCCAGCTTATCTCTGACAACGTTGCCAAACATACTCACTGGAAGAAAGATGGCCTTTTTAACAAATGGTGCTGGAAAAACTGGCTCTCTACCCGCTTTAAACTAAAACTTGACCCAGGTCTATCACCATGCACTAAGCTAAAGTCAAAATGGATTAAACATCTAAACATTAAAACAGAAACACTAAATCTCCTGGAAGAGCACGTAGGATGAACTCTTGAAGACACAGGGGTAGGCAAAGAATTCATGAACAAAAATCAAATCGCACGGGAAACACTTGAAGGAATTAACAACCGGGACCTGCTCTTATTGAGAAGTTTCTGGACGTCAACAGAAATTACCAACAAAGTGAAAAGACAACCCACAAATTTGGAAAATATCATGACAAACAAGTACTCTGACAAAGGTCTGCCCTCTAGAATTTATAAAGAACTAAAAAATGCTAGGGCCCCAAAATTGAAAGACCCAGTCCAGAAATGGGCATCTGAGATGAGCACACATGTCTCAGAGGATGAAATTAAAGAAGTGAATAAATATATGAAAAAATCCTCCACATCACTAGCCATCCGTGAAATACGAATTAAAACAACAATAAGATATCATCTCATCCAATAAAAAATGCTATTATGAAGAAATCAACCAACAACAAATGTCGGAGTGGCTGTGGAAAAAAAGAACACTTCTCCACTGTTGGTGGGAATGTAGACTGGTGCCACCAACATAGAAATCAGTGTGGAGACTCCTTAGAAAACTTGAACTGGAAATCCCTTTTAATCTAGCTATTTCTCTACTGGGAATTTTCCTAGAGGATTTGAAAACATCATATCAAAGTGACATATGTGTGCCTATGTTTATAGCAGCACAATTTGTGATATCCAAACCTTGGAAACAACCTTGGAAAACACCAAGTTGCCCATCACCTGAGGAATGGATGAAAAAGATGTGGTATTTTTATACAATGGAGTATTACTCAGCTATGAAGAATGATATACTTGAAGCCTTTATATGGAAGTGAATGCCACTTGAAGATATAGTCATAAGTAAAATAAACCAGACACACATGTGTAAATATTGTGTATTTTCTCTAGTATAAGTACTCAAAAGAAGAAATACAAGTAGAAATTTATAATAGAACTAAAATGAAAGCATGAATTTGAGGACTAAACAATGAAAAGAGAGCAAGGAGAAGATCTAGGAAACATGACGGGGCAAGCCATACTGTTATATGTAATAGATGGGTAAGGCAATGATCTTGAGAATCTTGAGAAGATTTTTGAATCTTGCAGTTAATTGGAATGATTCTCACCCTAACTATGTACAAAGACAAGTGTAAACTAAGCAACTACACTGAAGATGGGAATTTGTAATAGTAGGTTCATGATTGGAGTTCCTGTCATTCTGGTCTTCTGAATACAGGCTACTTGTCATTACATGGCAGTTGCTGCCATGCTGTCTCTCAGGTAGATGATTGTTTAAATAGTAGGGGGTGGTGAATGAAGGCAGGAGACAGGAAAAGGAATGTTGTGGGACTGTCCTTCTACAAGGTTGTATATGGTTATATTTCTAGACTTATGTGTAAAGATAAGAATTACATAATTCTTTATGCCTATTTTTAAAATACATTTTAATTTTTTAAAACGTTTTTTCATCATATTCTACAGTGACTTAAAGCTCAATATATCAATACTTGATGAAAAATACCTGTTCTTTGTTATGCCTAAAATGTTTATATTCAGACTGATAGTGAGGTTAAGCTTAACAGCCTAGGTTGTATGGTAATAACAATAAGCTTTTCTTTTGTATGGTTAACAACCTAAGTTTGCAGATCAAAATCTGAGAAAATGAGGGCCACAAGGAAAGCCAATATTTTGGCCTTAGCCTTCCAAGGTCAATTAAGACTCAGGACATATGATATCTTGTAATGTGATGTCATGTATCTCAGTAGTGTCCCAAATTTTCTGATCAAGGAGATTATTGGGTCAAAGAGCAAAGTGATCCATGATGTAGAGTGTGGCTAAGGCGAGTCACATGGAGAGAAAACATTCTCTCAGCCTTTCTAGGGTAGCACATTGGCCAAGCAATAGCTATGACTCATCCCCATGGCTGACACTGACAAAAGATCTACAATCTGAGGTACAGGATCTCAGGATAAATCCTGAGGGGATTTGACTGTCCTTATCTGATCCAAAAGCTACAACTCTTGTTGCATAGGTCTTGCTTTATCTTTGTCTTAACCATCCAGCAGAAAAGTATAAAACAAAGTAGAAGAAGTAAAGCCATGTTGTTATATTGAGCTGTAAGGGGCTTAGGTCAACAATTTCTGACACTGTCAGTCAAGAGGAAGACCCAATACTATTATGGATTACTGGACTCTTTTAGAATTTTTTGCTGAGTTAACACATCTATAGTATTCAAATGATGGAACTAAACAAAAAAGGGGCTATATAAATAAATGTCCATTTTGTATCTGTGTATTCAAAATGGTTATGATAGATATATAGTTACATTCTCTTAATGAATAGAGGGATTTGTTGTAATAGTGTTTGTAAATAGGATATCATGTCTGCATCTTGTACAGCAAATAACCACTAGGGAGAGAGTGTGCAGTGTGTTAATTATTGAAACTGTCCTACCAATTTCATTTGAAACTGTCTCATTGCTATTTGTCTGTCAATAGAATTATGGAAAGAAAAATAAAAAATAAAAGAAAAAAATCTCAAAATTACAACAAACTTCTTCACACAAAACTTAAACACCAGGAGCACTTGGAGTGAAGTGTTTCAAACCCTACAAAATAACAACTCCCAATACAGTAGCATGCAATGTATATTTAAGTAATACAAAACAGCTTCCATGAATATAGTTGGATCACGTGTGATAAAACTGGAAGTCATTGGCAACAGACACGCCAGAAACTATAAATACATGAAAGTTAAATAGTAGCCTCTTGAATAAACAGATCACAGATGAAATTAAAGAATAAATAACACAGTTTCTTAAATGAAATGATAATCACAATATAGCATATCTGAACCTATGGGACACAATAAAACAGCCCTAAGTGAACTTTATAGAGGTGAATCCCCACATCAAAAAACAGAGTTAGCTCAAGTAAATAACCTTAATGATGTACCTGCACTTTGTAGAAAAAGAATAACTTCCAAACCTAAAACTAGTGTGATGATGGAAATTTTAAAGATAGATCAAAAATTGAAACTAAAAAAAAACTAAATAAACTATGAATTTAAGAGGCATATTAAACAAAGCAGAGTGAATCTTACCTAATTTACCAAAATGGGGGTGTCATCAAATCCATGCAACTAGAAATGCAAAAGGCAAAATCAGTGAATTTTACTCAAATTCAGAATATTTTCAGTAACTACTTTGAGAACCTATACTCTAATAAATTGAAGAATTTAAAAGAAGTGAATAGAATCCCAGATACATGTGAATTCCCAAAGGTGAGCTAAACAGAGAAATCCTGAATAACCCAAAACTATTCAATGAAATTGATGAAAAAATAAAGTGTCTCTCAACTCAGAAAAGCCCACATCCCTGTGGATTCACTGTCAAATTTATAAGAAATTTAGAGCTGCAATACCGATACTCCTCAAAATCTTTAATGAAATTGAAAAAGCAGTACTTTCTTAGTTATTCTGTGTAGCATCATTACCCTAGTCTCAGAAAAAGAAAAAGAAACTAACCAAAAAGATAACTGTAGGGCAAACTCTTTAATGGCTATAGGTACAAAATTCTCAAGATACTGGCAAACAGAATGCACCAAATTGTCAGAATGTTTATGAATCATTATCAAGTAAGATTCACTGCAGTGATGTATGGATGGCTCCACATATGCAAATTAATGAGTATATCATACAAAAGGAAGCAAGCACAAAAATCACATGATCATTTCAATAGATGAAGAAAAAGTATGTGTCAAATTCTAACATGTATTTATGATAAAATCTCCAAAGAAAATAGGAATAGAATAGGGTCAATGAGACACTTAAGCAGATTAAGTGCCTGCTGAGGCAAGCACAGGGAATGGGGTTTCATCTCTGGTACCTCATGCCACACTGGTCCCACCCCAGGTGCACTGAGCTGGCCAGTGAGATCAGGCATGGTGGCATACACCCTAATCTCAGCGATGGGGAGCCTGAAAATAAGAAGATCAGGAGGAGTCCAATCTGTATAGTGAGACCCTGTACCAAATACATATAAAAAGAAAATGGGAATAGAAAATATTTATCTTAAACTCATAAAATTCATCCATGGCAAATAGATAATCAATATCCTACTGAATGGAGAGATGTTGAATGTTTTCCCTCTAAACTTAGAACAAGATAAGAATGTCTGCAATTTATTTCTTTTCAACATAGTTCTAAATATATTAGCTAGAGCAAGTTGATAAGAAAAAGTAATAAAAATGGTTATATAAAGGAAAAGAAGGGAAGTCATTATTTGAAAATGACAGGAACCTGTACATAGAGGTAACCAAAGCTACACCAAAACATCATTATTGATAGCATAGAAGGACACAGTCAATAATGAAAATTAGTAGCAATTCTCTACATCATTAACTCTTCAAGAATGCTATTAGTGAAATGAAACCATTTAAAATAGCCTCAAAAATTACACATTGATGAATTAACCCTAGCAAGGCAGTGAGAGATGTCTATAATGAAAACTATATTACTATGAAAAAGATCAAATAGGATGTCAGAAAATATAAAGATATGTTCCTATTACTGGATAGGAAGAACCAATACAGTCAAAATGGCCACACTTCTAAAACTGTTATACCGATTTAATCTAATTGCAGTCATAATATCAATAACATTCTTTATAAAACTGGGAAAAGCAGTCCCAAAATTAACAGGTAAATAGAAGAAAATTATAATACAAAACACAACTTTGGGCAGAAAGGACAACACACACATCCTTACTTGGCATGGGAGATACCATGATCAGGAAGGTGGTTTTCCCAGGGCGAGGCTTATCCATTGCACTCTGAATGTGCTAACCCCTGCAATTTCCCCAAATGTGGGAAACTTGACTGCATAATTTGTGGTAGTGGGGGACTGCGTTCATGCAGAAAAAAAAGAAAGAAAGAAAAAGAAAGGAAGGACAACATAAAGAGCATGAAAATCTCATACTTCAAATTGTAAAATCAGGATGATATTGGATAAAAGATTGAATCAATGGAACCAATCATAAGATATGAAAAAACTCCCGGCACGTGCTGCTAGATTGTGTTTGACAAAGGGAACAAATCTGCTCATTGATGAAAGATAGCCTCTATATCAAATGGCTTTGGGAAATCCATATAGCAAATACTGAATCTAGACTCATATGTCTCACTATAATTAAACTAAAATAAAAATAAGTCCTTATCTTGAACATCAAAGATCTATTCATTCAAATATAAAAGACTTAATCTGCTGAATGTCAAAGTAGTTGAATCACTGGGACATACTGTGAAGTATAGGTGCAGGCAAAACTTTTCTCAAAAAAACTCCAGGAGCACAACAAATAATAACATGAATTAACAAATGGGGTCAACATGAAGATAAAAAGAATTTGCACAGCAAAAATGAAACAGATACCAAGCGAAGTGAAAAAGCTACACAAAGGAAAAACTTTTTGCCATCTACTCCTCAAAGAATTAGTATCTATAATAAGGAAGTCAAGAAAAATACACTTCCCCAAATTTAAATACTCAACCAAAAATGGGCTTCTGAAATGAATAGATATTTGTCATATGAAGAAGTACAAATGGTTAATAAATAAAAAAGTGTTACACTGCTTGGCCAATAAATAAAGTGTTACACTGCTGTTGTTGTGGTCAACGTTCACAAGGAAATAGATTTAATACAAGACACATAAGTCATAGGATTATTTTATAATATCTACTCCAAGAGTCAAATGCAAAAGATCTCAGGAGATCTGTCCAAACACAAGAGACACAAAGTATACAGCTGAGGGCCTGCATCCCATGGCAGTGACTTGCACGAATACAGCTGAAGATCTAGAGCCCATGGTACTGCCTCCACAAGGTCAGCTGGAGGCCTGGAACTCATAGCAATGTTTCATGCAAGTATGCATCAAGGATATGCACTTGAAGGGCCAAAGCTGAGGTGTGGAAACTAGAAAATCTGTTCCAGACGGGTGATTGATCTGTGCCAGCTGGCTGAGGTGTCTGTATTGGACCCAGGCCACAACACTCAAGGTAATGACTAGAGTTCCCCAAATGGAATCACAGAACTCCTCAATGACAGTGAGGATCTAAGCTCCTCCAATGATGAGAACAGCAGAGATCGTATCAGGAAAACAGGCATGAGAGCCTTCTCCAGAAGGATCAACAACACATCACCTTCCCCTGGTAGCAATCCTCAAATGTGCCTACCACACACAGCATGATGCTGATTTGGTTCAACTCGGTGTTATACATTGCCCATTAGTTAATCCACCTTAGCTGGCCACTCAAAAAATGTAAACTTAAATAGCACAAGGGCTGGGGAGATGGCTCAGTGGAATTATTGCTTTCCTTTAAAGTGCAAGGGCCTGAGCTCAATCTCCAGTTCTGAAAAAAAAAAAATAATAAATAAATAAATAAATAGCACAGACCTCATCTCACTTCAGAAAGAATAGCTAGCATCAATAAATCAACCTATAACAAACGCTGGTGAGGGTGTGGGGAAAAAGGAACTCTTAATCAATTTTGTTAGAGTTTAATTTGATGCAACCACTATAGAAATAAGTATAGAACTTCCTCAAAAAACAAACAGAAATTCCACTTGACCTATCTATTCCCCTCATCTTCCCCATTGAATTAAAGACAGCACACCACAGTGATCTAAACTGTGAAAACAGTCTATATGTCCATCAACTGACGAATAAAAAAATGTGAAAAGTATACACAGAACAGTACCATTATTTCAGCGTTTACAATTTGTTTACAAGAGTTCCTTGATTCAATATAATTGTTTTATGTGTGTTATATGAGTTTTGGTCTAATATTCTAATTCTTAATCTATACACATAATAATTAACTTTAAATGATTCAAGACAAATAAACAAATCCAATGCTGATAAAAAGCAGTATGGAGGTAAGGGGAAAATAAAAATGAGTTATGTTTATGTTGCAAATCCCTACAATGAGAATAATTACGATGTACTGCAAATACGTTCTAATAAAACTTTAAAATGAAAACATTGGTAATTATAACAATCTTCAGTAAAGCATGAGATGTTAAAAATGACTGAAAATATGTGAAATTCCACAAGCCACAGAGAAAAAACAAATTAAAATGAAAATTTTATTAGAGTCTTTTTTTTTCTTTGTTTTGCAGAACTGGGGATTGAACTCAGGATCTTGTGCTTGCCAGGCAAGCATTTATTCTATTGGGCTATCTCCCCAGCCCCTAAAATGAAAATTTTAGAACTAAAAATTTAAACATAAAATAATTTGGTGAATTTACCATACAAATCAGAAGGCAGAGGAAAGACTAAACTCAGATAAAACAGCGTGCTATCTATTCAGAAGATAATATAAAAAGACTTAAATATGTACAGTACAGCAAATATCACCAAGTTACTATTAAGCAGTATACCCTAAAATTTCAAAACATATGTTAATTAATTATAAGGTGGGAAAATATATAGCAATAATTTCCAGCCTTTTACAAATTTGGTTAGAAGTAGATATCTGTGAGTAGCACATAAGTTAAGAACACCATGTAAAATGCTTAATGCTAGACAAAAACCTCTGAAATCAGGTAAAAACAAACTACACACCACAAAGGATCAATATTTCGATTAATAGATAATACTTTCACTGACAGTATAGATGCTGGAAGATAGAACAGAGATACATATAAAAAATTTAAAATTAGTATATTATGTACAGAATATTCTCTAAAATGTCCTTCAAGATTCATGGCAAAATAAATACACTGTAAACAAGCTATATATTTGCTAAATGAAGCAATAATATCATTTGTTGCCAGAAGACATACATAGTAAAGAATGTTTTGGAAAGTTTTACACGGTAAAATAAAGTAATCTTGGGTGGAAACTCAGATGTTCGGAAGGTGATAAATACTAGAAACCATAACTTTCTATATGAAAAGGACTATTAGCTTTATGTTTCTCTCAACCTTAATTAAAGAAAACAGTGCAACACCGAGTTTATAATGTTTAGAAGCATAACCATAACAACCATAAAATGTGAGATGGTTAATATCTTAGGTTTTACAATCTAAAGAGGCTGTGTTGTAGTTACTGAATTGTCATTGTGCCATAAACAAGTCAAAGACAATAAATAAATTGGTAAGTATGATGATGTTCTATTAAAATGTTAGAAAACAAGTAGCTTAATATGAAATTTTGGTTGCTAACTTGAGCATAAAGTATGGAGGATATATACACCTAAATATTTGGAAAGTTGCTGAGGAGATAGCTCAGTGCAATAAGCACATTCCTGGAAAGCACAAGGTCCTGAGTTGAAGCCCGTTGCCCCCCACCAAAAAAGAAGAAATAACTTGGAAAAATACAATCGTGGATACAAACAACATCATATAAATATATTTGATATTAAAAACTAAAACTTATTAAAATAGGCATATCTGTGTATATATAAGGTATGTATTTATAAATAGGCAGAATGTAAGAAAAGAAAAATTATATGCCATAAAATATTAAGCATAAGAAGGCTGAAGTGGCAATGTTAGTAATATATAAAATCAATATTAAGACACAAATTACTACTAAAAGTAATGAAGCATATATCATAATTATAAAAGTGTCAATTTTTTGTGAAAATAACTAATATACATCTATTAATAGAGTTCTAAATCATGAAGCAATAATTGGCATAATTAAAGAAATAAAGCAATAAGCACAAAATAATGATGTTAATGGTCTCTTTATGAAGTCAACCTGACCATAAAAAATTCAGCAGAAATGCACAATTTAAAAACAATTTACTAGTTCATTTGATATTTATAGAAATCAAACACAATACTATCAGAAAAAAATTCTATGCATGAATAGAGTAGATAATAGACAAACATATGAATTCATAAAATAAATAAAAATGTATATATGTATATTTTTGGTGGTACTAGAGATTGAACTCAGGACCCTGTACTTGCCAGGTAAGCACATTTTACTGAGCTATGTCTCTGGCCCAAAAATATTTCAAATGACATTAAATATGATATTATCACCAAGAATGGCATATTTAAAAATGAATACAAAAAAAATAGGAAAATACAAAATATGTGGAAAATTGAAAAACTCTAAATTTTGCATGGGCAATCACTTTCCTCTGTGGTCCCATAAACTTCTGGATCAGAAAATTTGGAACACCACTGAGTTATAGTATGTCATAGCACAGGTTGTCTTATGTCCTGAGTCCTCACTAACTTTGAAGAGTGAGGGCCAGAATATTGGCTATCATTTTAGCTCCTCTGTTTCTCTAATTTTGGGTCTGCTAACTTTACTTGTTAAACATACAGAAGAGATGGTTAATGATATTATTACCCTATAACAGAGACAGTTGAGCTTAACATTGCTATATGAATATCAAACTCCTT